AGGGAAGCAAAGGCAGCCAAAAACACGGAGGTGGTCGTATGTTGGGTGTCGTTGAAAGAGGCGGTACTGAGGAGTGTTAGTAGAGATAGAGACAAAGGGTAATATGTTAGGGAAATGGGTTGCCATGTAAAGGGCTTCAGGATAAAACGTTCGAGGTAGGTAAGAATGGAATAGAAGAGCCAGCATCATGTTATTAGTAGTGTGAACCATGCGTTTGGATCTTCCATTTTGTTGAGATGTGTGTGGGCATGAGAAACGAAAGGTAATGTCATTGGAGTCGAAATGGTCATATACACGTTTATTGTTGTACCCCCCCCCCCTCCATTATCGCAGCGTAATTGTTGAATGGTATCCTTAATTTGAGAGTTTATTAAGTTGGAAAACTGTAAGAATTTTCGAAAAACTTCATATTTATGTTGGAGGGGGTACACTACCAGATAATGAGTATAATGATCAAGAAGTTGATCGATTTTTTATGAAATAACGCGAAAAATCCTTATACACTTAAGGGTACACGCAACCTATTAGATTTAGTCATAACACTATTGAACTAACATTTTATTGAACACCAAGAACCCTATAACCCTAGCTAATTTCGAAAATCATAAACAAGTTAGGGATTACATACCTTTTGATTATTGTAGTAAACAATTAAACAATCCTTCTTGAAAAGCTTTTGGAATCTAGCACCAAAAATCTCGTGCCTCATGGTTCACACCCAAACCCTAGCAACTAGGAAACTTGATGAAGAGAGGAAAAGATAGGGAAATTTTGGCTATGATCTTAGCAATTGGAGTGATGGCCGAAGTTTAGAGGCTAATGGGCCCTATTTATAGCTGATAGGAAAACCCTAGATAACCCTTACCTGATTAAAATAATAATATCTCAAATCAGGTAATTATCTGGTTTCCTAGTTATCTTTAAGGGATATTCTAGAACCCTAGAATAACCCCAAAATTGTCCACCTCTATGGGGAAGGTTCTAGAACATTTTTGTTCAACTATTGAACAATTACAGCTTAGGTCGTTGCATTATTAATTAATTCAATAAATCCCAATATTTATTCAAATTAATTTCTGATTAATTCTTAATTAAATCATACTATTTCTAATTAATATATTATTCTCATAATATTTAACAAATCATTTTTTGCTATTTATTAATCAAATAATAAATCAATAAATCAGTCTCTCTCTCTCTCTCTCTAAAAGTCATCCTATTTAAATATTGGGTTTTAGGGCAACCCAATAGGACTTTGTTAATAATTCAAGTATATACCAATTTAGTTATTCGCTTAGACACCTAATCCAATAGTCTCCCACTTGGATAAGTCTATAACTATAATTGTCAGTATAACATTTAAATTATCAGCAAAGGGTGCTTCCAAAAGCAACTCCAGCCTCTGATCTGATCATACATTAGTCCTAAGATAAGTGATCAAATATTCCTTCGTTCTATAAGATATCATATGGACACGAGACATGGAATCGAATCAATCTCATTGTGGAAAATTATTTTTGCCAATTTCTTGATTTGTGATGATGTCATAAGACTTTTAATTAAACACATCAATTTAGTCCTGGTTGGGCCCACCACTATAAGTCAACACCAAATCACCGAGGGGCTCACATATATCACTTTTCCTATTAGGGAAAAAGGAATGAATAAACTTTGACTTAAATTATTTTATCCTTTACTCACCAAATCATACATGACACTACGTTTTACAACACCAAGTTACTGATGCGTTTTCGCTATAACAATGTACAACCAACTTGTAAATTACAACTCATATATCTCCACTTTAATAATATAAGATATTATCGTCTCAAAGTTACTCGTGTTATAATCCATGAAGTAATTTTCAGAACGTGGGTTTATCCAATAATCAAATCTCCATTTCTAAGTACTCATGAACGTTATAGCAACACAATTGGTATGTTTAAACTCCTTACACAATCTATAATCCAATTCATGAGAGTCTTGATTCACTACTTACTTCCTAAAGTATGAGAGACTGTGGAGCTTCAAATAATCAAATTATTTAGGAAGTAAAACATGCAAAACGAAACACAACAATAAATAATTGACAAAGGCAGCAAACAAACTCATAAATAATCTCTAATATTCAATCACCAAAATCAAATACATATAATATGTTAAAAGATTCAAACTAATCATCTAACTACTATAACTAATATCATTTCTCAAAACAATGCTCCTAGCAAGTTGATTATGTTTAACCTTACTCAGAGCCTTTGTGAGAGGATATGTAGGATTGTCTTCTAAAGACACGCTCTTTACTTTGAGATGACCTTCTTCAACTCTATGATTGATATAATGGTACTTTCTTTTGATATGTATTGATTTACCAAGATCTCTTAGTTCTTTGGTCAAAGCAACTGCTCCTTCATTATCGTAGAAAAGTTTCACTGGCTCTTGAATTGTAGGAACTACTCCGAGATCACCGATGAAGTTCTTCAGCCAAGCTGCTTCCTTTGATGCTTCACTCGCTACTATGTACTCTAATTTACAAGTGGAATTAGCCACCATATCTTGCTTGGAACTTTTCCAAGTAAATGCTCCTCCATTTAACAGAAACACCCAGCCAGATTGAGAATGAAGATTGTCTCCATCTGTTTGAAAGTTGGCGTCACTATAACCACTTACTCTCAATGTATCACTGCCTCCAAGGACTATAATCGGATCATTTGTCCTTCGCAGATACTTGAGAATGTTCTTCACTATTGTCCAATGAGCTCTACCAGGATTTCCCTGAAAGCGACTGACCATGCTTAAAGCAAAAGACACATCAGGGAGAGTACATGACATAGCGTACATGATCGATCCTACGACCAAAGCATATGGGACACAACTCATTTCCACTGTCTCTTCATTTATACTAGGGATTTGAGTCTTACTCAACTTGACATTACTCTAAATAGGTAGCTCTCCTTTCTTGGAATTTCCCATACAAAAACGTTTTATTACCTTATCTAGGTATGTACTTTGACTAAGACCAATTAGTCTTTTCTTTTTATCTCTTAAGATTCTTATCCCAAGAATATAGGCTGCCTCTCCTAGATCTTTCATAGCAAAACACTTTCCAAGCCAATACTTAACTTCTTGTAAAGTTGGAATGTCGTTTCCTATAAGGAGTATGTCATCAACATACAATACTAGAAAAGTTACTATACTACCACTAGCCTTCACATAAACACATGACTCATCTTCACTCCTAGAGAAACCAAATTGTTTGACTTTCTCATGGAAACAAAGATTAAAGCTACGAGACACTTGTTTCAATCCATAAATGGATTTCTCAAGCTTATACACTCTATTAGGGAACTTGCATCCACAAAACCCTCTGGCTGACTCATGTAAACATCTTCGGCCAACTTCCTGTTAAGGAAAGTTGTTTTGACATCCATATGTTATATTTCATAATCATGAAAGGCAGCTATCGCAAGAATTATCCTAATAGACTTTATCTTGGACACTGGTGAGAAGGTCTCATCATAGTTAACCCATGGGGTTTGAGTAAAGCCCTTCGCAACCAGTCGTGCCTTGAAAGTGTGTACCTTTCCATCCATGTCAGTCTTCTTCTTGACGGTCCATTTACAACCAACTATGTTTTGATCAAGTTCTTGATCAACCAAATTCCAAACGTGGTTATCATACAAGGACTTGATCTCTCTATACATTGCCTCTTTCCACTTGGCATCTTCAGGGCCTACCATTAATTGCTTCCTTGTAGTTAGCTGGCTCATCCGAATTTTCCAGTGTATCATTACTGATAAACGTGTCACCATCCGACATTATATGGAAGCCATAGAACGTTGGTGGCATGCGAACTCTACAAGATCGGCGAAGAGGTAACGAATTGTCAATGGGTTCAACAGGAGTCTCATCCTCAAGTTGAGTGATAGCTTCTTCTAAGGTTCCTTCATTGGTTAACTCTTGAATCTATTCAAGGTCAATGGTAATCCCACTGTCGTCTTTGCATATGAGCTCTTTCTTGAGAAATACTCCTTTTCATGATACAAAGACCACGTTCTCACTAGGTCTGTAGAACAAATATCCAAAAAAAATTGTGGGTAGCCAATCAAAATACATCTTTCACTTCCAGGTTCTATCTTGTCATGAGTCTCTCATCTAAAAAAAGCTACACAACCCCAGACCTTGATATGTGCTAACGAGGGAACTTTCTTTGTCCACATCTCGTGAGGTGTTTTGGCAACCTTCTTGGTAAGGACGCGATTTAGGATATGGGCGGCTGTTTCTAAGGCATACCCCCAGAAAGAAATGGGAAGAGAAGATCGAATCATCATGGAACGATCCATGTCTAACAAGGTCCGATTATGCCTCTCAATCACATCATTAAGTTGTGGTGTCCAAGTAGGAGTCAATTGTGAAACAATTTCACATTCCTTCAGATAGTCGTGGAACTCGATACTAAGATACTCTCCGCCTCTGTCATATCAGAGCACCTTTATCTTCCTGCCTAATTGATTCTCGACTTCATGTTTAAACTCTTTGAAAATTTCAATGGTTTCTGACATGTGCTTTATTAAGTAGATATAACCATATCTGCTATAATCATCTGTAAATGTAAGATAAAATCGATTAGCATCCATCGTGGTGCATCTGAAGGGTCCACACACATATATGTGTATGAAATCCAACAAACCCTCACCTCTTTCACAAGATCCGGTGAAAGTTGATTTTGTCATCTTCCCCACAAGACAAGATTCACATTCATCATCTGGCCTTAAGTCAAATGATTGCAACTCTCCATCCTTTTTGGAGTTGGGTGATGCGTTTCTTGTTAATGTGCCCAAGATGAAAATGCCACAAGCATGCCTTGTCTAAACCATTAGACAAGTAAATATGAAAAACACTATTACCTAAGCTATCAACATAAACCACAGTTTCATACACACCATCACAAGGTAAAGCTTCAAACATAAAAAAATGCCATTTATATAAACCAAAATCGATCCATTCATATCATTAAACGAATATCGAAAACCTTGTCTAAAAAGTGCATGAAAATAAATAATGTTTCATGTCATTTCTGACGAATAGAAACAGTTAACTAAATCTAATCTAACAACATACTAAGCTTTATATTATAAGTTCCGATCTTGGTAACAGGAGAAGATCGCCTATTGCCCATGATCAGATTCATCTTTCCATGCTCCACCTCTTCACTTTCTCTTAGTCACTGCAAATCAGAACTAATGTAAAAACCACATCCTATATCAAGGACCCAAGAATGAGTAGGTTGTGAGTTATTAGTTTTAATAATGTAAATACCTCCAAACGATGGCTTCACCTTGCCATCCTTGATGTCCTACAAGTACTTGGGGAAGCTTCGTTTCTAATAGCCCTTATCATTACAATAGAAGCAAATGGTCTTTTTGGGATCACGAATAGAAGGAATGTCAAAACTGGGCTTCGCTTTTAGGTCATTGCTTGACGATCCAACATGGGCCTTGCCCTTCTATTTCTACTTAGGAGCACCTTTCCTTTTCTTTCCTTTGGTTTTCCCAATGGCTAGGACAGGGGCATTAGTAGAGGTATGAGTTTGATTCTTCTTCATTCCTGACTCAGTCGTTCGCAACAGGTTCTGGAGTTGGGTCAATGTGGTTTCTGTGTTGTTCAAATGATAAAGCCAAAATGACCTGATCATAATAAGGTGGCAAAGAATTAAGGACCATCTATTGCCAACTCCTCCTCGAAATTCACATTAAGCCTTTCAAGGTGTTCCACGTATCTTTGAATTCTTGCACGTGGTTGCAAACAGACTCTTCTTCTTCAATTTGCAAGACATTAATTATTAGTTCATGGATCACAAGAAAATTGATTATACATCACAAGTACAACGATAACAACACATCAGTTATATTCCACTTTAAGGTTTGAATACATGGTTCTTATATATAATAATAATAAGTAAGTACGTGAATTCCCTTAATAAATAGGACGGAATAACAAAATCTAGAGAAAGCTAGTTTGCCCGAAATCCATGATAATTCCTTCTATTAAAAGTTGGTTCAATGGTCTCCTGAGAATACATGTAGTTTGAGGGTCAACACAAAGGTTGGTGAGAGTTACAATTTTCTGCTAACTGTAGTAATGATACTTTTAAAAAGACCAAAAAAAAGTATTTTATTTGTATGTAATTCCATACTTAAAAGGTTTTATAAAGAGAGAAATCATAATTAAATTCATACTTAAAATGTTTGATAAAGAGGGAAATCATAAGTAAATCCATACTTAAAATGTTTGGTAAAGAGATAAATCATAAGTGAATCCATACTTAAAATGTTTGATAAATAAAAATGTTTGATAAAGATAGAAACCATAAGTAAATCCATACTTAAAATGTTTGATAAAGAGAGAAACTGAATATGTGGTTTCTAGATAAAGAGATCTGATTAATGCTTATAGTTAGTCCTATAACCGAGTTATGTGACTAGATATAACCCCTTACGACGCTTCATTGGACGTCGTGGATAAAGACTAAAGATAATTATCACCCGTTTCGGTTGATTCGTCAAGGTTGTAGCTAGCAACCACAAGTGGGATGCCAACCCGTATAGATCTATACATACGTATCTCGCTTTGAGTGGCTATATTTATAGATGAGTGGCTATACTAAGTGGATATACTTAGGTAATGAATAACATCTCACTTTAAAGGCCATTAACTAAGGTATATGGATATACAGATAAAGTTACCTGTCGGGGTTGTAGTTAGTAACCACAGGTGACAAGATATACGGATAAAGTTATACCATAAAGTTTGACTATAAAAGCCATTAACTAAGGTATACAGATATAATATCCCTTATAAAAGCCAATTATGTTTGATATATTCTTAAAAGTGTATATTACTCGCTTAAATAGGTGGTAAGTTTTCTAACTTATATATATATATATATA